TTTTTAAGAACGTGCCCCCTGTGATACTGCTGCATGAGACAACAGAAAATGAAGGAGCATGGACTGTTCTCCCTGTCATTCCACAGTAAGTATCCAATGTAAATGCTGGTAACAACAAATGGATGTTATATATTGTACTGTCATGTGGATTTGATGTACAGTTACCTGGAGGTTTATCCAATCCTCCATTTGAAATTCTCTCTCTATGGTGCAAAATAAAGCTCAGCATGCAATCACTATAGATGAGCCCTCTGTAGCATTTACATATTTTTTGCCTTTTGATTTGCGTGAGGCTCCATTTTTCCATAAAGCAGAAGTCTATCAGAAAATAACAGTATAACAATGAATATCCCACTAAAAGTAAAACTAGAAAAACAGCTTTTGCTGCAATATTCCACTTCAGTTCAGAGATTTCCTCTGTAGCTAGATAGTTACATAGTATTTGAGTCTGAATAAAGACACAGGCCCATCAGCTCTAAAAATGTATCTTTAGCCAATTTGTTTTATTTTACTTTGAAACGGGAAAGGATTATATACCACATGCTGGGTTTTTATGCCTATGCGGTGCATTGTAAGAGGGAGGCCGGAGAATGACAGTGTTGAAGCCAGAAGTGTTCAGAGCTGATTGCTTCTGGTGTCACACTTCACAGAGGAGATCAGTAAATAGATTTTCCCTGGTCTCCTGCCACTCTCCATCTTGACACCGACCATGGAATCCCAAGGCATCCTGGAGGGACAGGTGAGCCCAGAACACATGGTGGGGGTCAGCCACCTTCTGCAGCATGTTAAAGTGATTGAGAAGCTTTACAGCCACCTGAATCACTTCAAATAGAACGCCAACAGCCATAAAAGTGTAAAGAAACAGTGTAAATGGAGATATGCTGGTGAAGGAAAATATTTTTAAAAATTTAGCGCCATATATCCATCAACTGTGGCCCTCACTGACCTCTGTAGCTGCATGCACTGTGGAGCAATTCATCCTAAAAGTTCAAAGCATGCTTGAAATACTTTAGTCTGGCCACAGTTGCATTTTATGACCATATGGTATGCAAACGGCATATCGTCTCCCATTCAGGAGACTTTCTTTCGTTTTAGTAGAATGGTAGAGGGTTGGAAATTCTTTGGAAATCTAGAGAAGAAATGGTAGTTCTTTCCCTGTGCAAATAATTTCTGAAGCAAGATAGCTCTGTGCTAAGCACAGTTGTCTTGTTGACCTCTGGGACTTGTTGACCTAGCGCTGGCTTTAGTCCCTACTGGCTAACTATCTCCATAGAATGTGTATATGCTCCCAAATGTTAATCACTTGCCTTACGCTAGTACAAAGTGAGGTATTCAAAAATGTTAATATTCTTACATTTATAATTGGATAGAGTTGAGTTTATTTTATCTGCCTACATGTATACTTTATAGCACTGTAGAAATATAATCCTTTATAAATAAAGAAGAATACTAATCTTTTTTTATATCTTTTGAAATTCTGATGATGCTAGCTTCCTGGGCTTCCTCACTGTGTCGAACCTTTTGCAAAATTATTTTCAGGAGACTCTATACAGCGATTTTATTTTTAGTTTATCCTGTTTTGTCATGGTCAAGTACAGTAAGTGAAAGGAGGCAAGTGCAAGTCATGACATTTTCATTATGTTCCTAAAATTGTTCTTTATATGCCGATTATCTAAATGGAACTGGCAAAGAATCCAAAATCAGGACCTACTAATTGGCTGTCAGTAGACTTCTTCCTGGCTCCATACTCCATCAATTACTGTCAGATTATTTCATTTAACTGACACTCAATTTTTTTTAAATCTGTATTTTTATTAAACTTTTAAAGAGCAGCACACAGAATCCTGTTTCAATGTAGAAGACGAAGACATTAAGTGAAGCATATAATTTGTCATGCAAGAATAGAAGAAGGAAGACATTTTAACAGTTTAATAAACGTATTGTAGGCAGGAAAAAGTAGGTTAGTCTTCCCAGCGGGCGAGTGTCTACTTGACTGTCATGGCTGCCAGTGCTGTTATAGCCCCCCCGGGCACTTTAAAAAAAAAGAAATACTAATAATATTTTTACTTGTGTCCTAGTTGAGATATATTTCACATTTGTGAAGAGAATAATTCAAAGTTATATCAAATGCTTTTTTCTTGATTTCGTCTCTGCAAAAACATCAATAATATCTCCACCATCCATATTTTTTTTAAAGTTCTCCTTCAATAGCCAAAAGGGTTAGTGCATTTAATCGTTCTTGAGCTATTGATTACCGTAAATAAATTTTTACTCGTCTTAAAGTTGAAAATTACCTTTCTCCAGAACAAATGGTAGCAGGAGATATTAGAGAAAAAAAAAATCTCAGAAAAAAACACAAAAAAAAAACCATGCTGGCTGGTACTTGCACTCTGCCTAAAGCAATCAAATACATAAAGCATAAGTTGCATAGTATCTGTAACTGAAAATGTTTGCAGTGGTCAAAAGGAAGTATCGCACAGATTGCAGAGATCAGTAGTCGTAGCGCCCAGAGTGTATGCAGAGGTCAGCATTCACTGACGCATAGAGAGCAGAGGTCAGCAGTCGGTGACATATAGAGAGCAGAGGTCAGCAGTCAGTGACAACCCTCAGCAAGTTTCAGGGACTCCAATGCCCTAGTAATAGTATTATTTCAAATTGCTGGGGTTTGTAGTTCTATATAGCAGAGGGTATTAGCAATACCATCAGCTGTACATGACTCCAAATACCAGCAATACATACAGCGATGCAGAATAATACCATCAGCTATAGAGGTCTACAGATCCCAGCAATACATACAGCGAAATAACATAATACCATCAGCTATAGAAGACTACAAAAAACCCCAGCAATACATACAGGGATACAGAATAATACCATCAGCTATAGAAGACTACACATCTCAGCCAGCCCACCACCAATACATACAGTGATGCAGAATAATACCATCAGCTATCAAGGACCACAGAAAAAACCCAACAATACATACAGTAATGCAGAATAATACCATCCAGCACTACACATTCCAGCCAGGCTGCCAGCAGTATAAACTGCAGCAATCTAAATTACATGTTTTAAGAAAAAAAATCTTAGAAAAGTTATCTTACCTTATTATTTGAAGTCTGGCTGTTGAGCGCTTGATTGTCCTTCTTTTGGGCGTGCAGGTGGCAGCACTTGTAGGTACATAGATGTGAGCATGGATCCATATGCACAGGCAGGGTTGCATGGAAGCCGGAACTAAAAGTTATTGATCAGGTGCCACAGCACAGATATTCCTCCGTATCAGCTGTAAGAAGAAAAATAGTCCCCCTTTCTCCTGCTGTCAGTTCAGCAGGGAGGCCTGGGGAGAGGGGATTCTTTCAGAAATAGATGTGGGATCACCTGACTGGGGACTGGGGGCTTTTATTTACTTGAGCCCTCTCTGTCCGTGAGGTTTTGGGTTCGGTCAGGCCAGAGGACTCGAGCAGAGGAAAAAAAAAGAAAAGTGCGGCTGGCGCCCCTCTGTGGTGGGCTCCTGTAGGCAAATGCCTGCATTGCCTAGTTGAAAATCTGGCCCTGCCTACGGCATAGCCAATTAAGCTACACCCTTAACTTCTTGTTCAGCTTTGCAGCTCCCCTTGTCACCACTTCACCTCGAGTCTGCTCATTGGACAACAAATCAACAACACTTGGCTGATGAGCAAGCAGATAACACAGGAAGTTATAAAGGTTAACCAGGAAGTAGTAAAATCCTGGCCATGAATTGTAGCAGATTTGACTGAACATAATTTCCAATACTTTAGCAGGTAAAATAGTTAAGACCTGGCTTTTTCAGTTGTGCATTTAGCTGTTTATATAGAGTTTAGCATTAAAGGGTAAAGCAATGTATGGTGGCTGTTCACCTCAGAACAGTTGTGCTCTGGTCATTTAGAATGTATTGCATTAAACATCTTAGGCCTGCCAATCTGGGTTTTTAGTTTGACTTTAGTTTTATGAAAACCTTTTATGGATTCTCAAATGTAAACACACTCTCTATTTTGGAGCTTTCATGCAGACTGCATACATGTTTTATGCAAACAATGTTCTGTTAAAGAAGAACTCCAAGATTTTTATTTATTAACCCTTGCAGTGAGACTACCCCAGCACTGCAAGGGTTAAGTGCTCATTTGTGTCTAGGTGCTAAAATAATAAAGTTATACTCACCGTAAGCTTTGTGCTTTCCAGCTGTCACAGCGCTCCCTCCAGCCTGTCTCCCCCTCCCTGCAGTATTGTAATCTTCCTCAGCGTCCTCTTGTATATACACTGTGGGGAATTTATCAAAACTGGAGCAGTTACCTGTGGCAATCAATCAGCTTCTATCTTCAGCTTGTTTAGTTAAGTTTTGAAAACAAAAGAGAACAGATGAATGTTTGCCATGGGCGACTGCTCCAGATTTTGTCTGCTCCAGTTTTGATAATTTACGTGTATAGACGTGATAATTTACGCGACCTTAGACCAGAGGAGGGGAAGAGACGTTGGAAGGACCGGTCTAAGAAGAAGCCGGCTCAGAGCTTGGGGTGAGTCTAACTTTTTTTTTTAACTCGGCAGAAACGAGCATTTAAAGGAGAACTATGAGGTTAGAGAAAATCACTCATCCTCATAGTTTGACAAGTTTGACATCCTCAAGTGTAACAATGAAACTGTCACACGTCGGCTCAATAGACCGGGAAGTGAGCGAACACATACCGTCGCTCGCTCACGTCTCAATCATCTCCCGGCGGAGAGAGGTAACTGTCAGTCATCACTCCCTGCAGGGATTCCCCCCTCCCCTCTCCGATTCTCCAGCGCTGACTGGAGAAATGGACGGGGGAGGGGGCGGCTACTGCTGGCTCTGCCTCTAGATAGGTAGAGCCAGCTGTCACTCACGCAACTGGGTGGATCTCGACGGTAATGTCATGATCCGTCCCGGCTGCGGCGCCTCAGTATACCACGAACTGTAGCTCGCGATATACTGAGCTTTGGGTCACGGGAGCATGCTAGTATATGTCCTTCTGTGACCCTTAGGAGAAATATGGGGAAAAATACTTACCCCGTAGTTCTCTTCTAACC